ATACGTCGCGTAGAACTGCAAATCATGAAATTCATGGCTATCTACGATGATATTCAGTCATTGACCAGTAGCTATTACACAATTAACACATATTTGGTGAATAGGTATTTATTTATTTAAAATTCAACATAATACATTTATTTAGCTGTCTCGAACGATCTATCTGACTGTATAATTTTGGAACCTAAAGATGTTTATTTTTATTAAAATATTAAAAATAAATAAAGTCCCGCGTTATTTTAGCACATGATTAATTCGAAATTGTCGAATAACGGGAAAGATGGATTACGTGTTGTGTATTAATAAACCACCTTTCTCCATCATTAATGCCATTATAGGTAAAATCTGTATTAACAATCAGGTAGATTGCTACGTAGTTAATTAAGTAATACTCTATTTATCAGTAAAATTTACTCATAAAAAAAATATTCAATGTTTGTAAAATTAACTTTGTCCCAGTACTTACTTATCATTCTTCTTTTACTCCTCTTATTTCGTTCTGATTAAAACAATAATTCGATTTTATAAATTCCATTAGCATAAAACCGTCTCCTACTGATAAATTGTCACTTTGTGCTTTTACAAAACCCATAGTATTTAGCAAAATGAAAATTATTGTTCACTCAATACAGTTTAGTATTCAAATACTTAAATAAAAATGGATTAGTGATCCGGATTCTCCAAAGAAATCCTAAAGGATTCATATTTGAATCGAATCCTTTTAAAGACTAAACTACTCCAGCGGGACGAGCCGAATCAAGCTTTGACTTGTCGGAAAGTGTATACAAAAACAGATTGAAAATGAAGACATTATCACAATTATAGTTACAAAATTAGCAAATGATCTGGTATGGAACCATAACCATAATACGAGTGTAGAGCTACAGATAAATGAGAAAATGTTTCTAATAATATGTATTTTTCTATTTTATGCTCAATGTACAAAATGAATATATAGGCGATGTCTACTGCACACATTAAATCAGCATGGCTACGTAGCTTATTTTCCTCCATTATTTTTTGTTTGCTGTTCTTCTACGCTAATCCCTTATGCTCATGTCGTTTAGGTCTCTTTCAGCCATCTGTGACCATTTAGTTCGTGGTCGTCTCCTTCTTCTCCTCCCGGTTATGCCTCCTGTTAATACTTGCTTTGTTGGTCTTTCATTTGCTAGACTCGCTACCTGTCATAACCACCTTATTCGCTCTGCCTTGGCTACATTTGTTTTGGAGGGTTCTCCATATAATTTTTATTTCAACGTTTGTTCTTGTTTGCCATACGTTATCTACTTTATTTCCGCCATATATCTTTTTAAGCACTTTTCGCTCGAATATGTCCAATGAGTTTTTTTTCTTTTTTGTTTAATTTCCATACCTCGCTTTCGTAAGTGACTACTGGCCTGATTATCGTTTAATGGATTCTCTTCTTTAGGTTTTTTTGACAAATTATTAGATCTTAGGCGATGAACCATTCCTCCCATACATTTTATTCCTTTCGTTATTCGTTCTTCTATTTCTTCTGTCTCTTCACCATTATCGCTTGTTGTGACTATTAAATAGCTAAATTGGGTTACTTTCTCAAACTTTTTCTCAGGTCCTTCAGTGTCTATTCTTAATTCTCTTTTCTGTATATTTTCTGGCATTTTTTTTACTAATATGAATTTTGTTTTTACTTCATTGATCATTAACCTCATTTCTTTTGCAGCTTTCTCTAACTTCTTTGTTGTTATTTCTAAATTTCCACTTGTTCTTGCTAGGATTACCAAATTATCTGCGTAGGTCATCATTTGTCTTCTTTGATTATACAGTGCGAGTTTAAAGTCCCTCCCATTTATTCTTTGGGCTGTAAAAGTAAGAAATTTGAAATTTTGGGAAACTGAATTAAGGATTGTATACTATCTTTTTAATGATATTATGTTACGTACTCATTAAAAATGGCAAACGGGAGCCGTTTCAGAAGATATTTGAAATGGAATCATAAGGCAAGTGATACATCATTTCAAAGCTTGCTCCAAACCCTTTCCAATGAGATCAATAAAAATAAAAATTTTACTTATAACGAATCCTTTGCTTTAAATTTTCAATGCTATCAACTGGTGTACTACAAATGTTTAATCTTTGGCACTATACTATTCTCGTTTAAAATGAAAGTTATTTATGGGTTCATATCTCAAATTCAAATTTCTTTTACAGTTCAAAAAATAAATGGGTGGGGGGGGGGGGCTGTAGTATATTTTGACTCGCACTGTATATCGTATATTTTGTTTGAATTTCACTTTGTATTACTGCAAAGTCTAAAATTATGTTAAATAATGTAACTGGATAGTGGAACTCTCTGTCTCAGTCCTTTTATCAACTTTACATTTGTCTGATGTTTGACCGTTAACAAGCACTCCATAATCTGTTCCAGTTAGTGTCAGTTTTAGAGATTTTCCTGTATTTCTAATTGTTGCATCGCCCTATATATTTTTTCTCGTTTTATCTTATCATAAGCTTGTTTATAGATGAAAATCATATATAACGGTAAGTTTTAATCTAGACTATTATCTGTTATTTGTTTTAATATAAATACCTGATCGATGACTGATCTATTTTCTTTAAACCACATTGATATTGTCCTATTTATTTTATACTTGATTTCTATGGCCATTATTTTATACAAAGTGTCCATCAAAGTTATTCCTCTATAATTTGCACAATTAGATATATTTCCTTTTTTATGTACAGGACAAATTAATAATTCTTTCCATCTCATGGGCATATTTTTCTCTTCCCACACTGCCTTTACTATGTTGTATACGTTATTTTCCAATTCTTCCTCCTCTGTCTACTATACTCCGGTTTTAAATTAGGAGACTTCTGATTGGCCAGATTGCAATCTGTTTTATACATCACTTTTTAGTATTAACATCAGGTGATAATTGACATTGTTGACAGTTCTGACATTTTATATTTTTAGTTTTGTTTATGGAGAAAATTAGAAAAATGTTTTTATTTTAATTCCATTTAATAATTATAGGAATAAATACTTTTCGAAAGTTTACAAAAAAATTAAGGTTTCTCCTCGGTAAGTCTTGTTATTACTGTTATTTCCTAAAAATTTTACAAAAATCGGATTAAAAATAAAGGCTCAGAAGAAATTATAAATTTTCAATGTGTTCAAAATTAAATTTATTTAGCTGTTGAAAAATAATATAAAATATAAAAATATATAGTTTATTATCAGTAACACCTCATTGAATAATTTTACAAAAAGTTTACCAACTCATTAATTTAAAGACATTCAATTGAAATGTATCACATTATATTCACTTAAGGGCACGTCTAAATTTCGCTAATATCCCCATAACTACCCGTAGAGGATTCTATATTTGAGTCCACCTCCTCGACTGTCTAATTTTCTGGTTATTCTACTGTTTTTTTTTTTATTCTTGCCAACTCTTAATTTTCGTAGTTTTTGTGGGTGATGACTAAAATTCCTTTTTTATGTTGAAATTAAGCAATATTCTTTCGTTTTTTTTACTAATCAATTGTTCGCGGGCCGCATGATACGGTCTCGCGGGCCGCAAATTGCCCCTGAAGGAAAACAAATAATTTTACTCATACTCTTGTTTCTTATTAAAACTTTCAATTAATTTTTATCGTTTAGATAGTTTTCTCTGTATTAATTTATTTTTTAGTTTTGTTAATAAAAAATAGAATTACAAGTTTTTATTAGCCGTTTCGGTAAATGTGAAAATATTTAAGATAAGTTCTACTGAATGGTTGGTTTTGGACGTTAATTCTCCAACTAATAAATTACATTGAATGGATTGTTTAAATTTTTAATTTGTTAAAAAATAGAATTAAAGGTTTTTTACTTGCTATTTGGTTACTTCGAAAGTAGATCAGTTATTATTGGGTGGCCTATCGGAGCATTAGCTAGATTTATTTGTGATAAGTTCTAACATAAGTTACCATACCTAGTATCGGTAGGCACTGGATGGGTTTTCAAAAATAACAGATGTACGCGATAAATAAATAATATTCACTATTTCACTATAAAACTGTTCGTTCCACCACTTAGTGCGACTGGCGAAGCAGAATATATTTTTTGTAATTGTCATTTATCAGCACTAGTTTCAATTAGGCAATCAAACATCCTGTTGCTACACGCGACGGTGAGATAATTATCTAATTGGTATCTGAAAATAAGATCGCAGCGCCGTCTTACTTGACATTTAAACTAATTGTTGTGGCTTGTTATTGTTTACATTTTTGTGTTTGTAAATAGCCCATAAAAAAATATTGTTGTCCTTAATTTTTAGTGATTGGACACTTTTATATTAATAGTTTCTAGGTTAAAGCAAAAGATATATTTTTATTTAGTAAGTAACCTCCTATACATTCTGTTAATGAGTTACCTAATTTATGTTAATTTTGTTATCTTTTAATACAATAATGCAATAATATAATAATTTTATTCTTAGTGAGATAATTATCATTCACAAGCTGTAGAAAATGGTAAATGGTAGTGTTCGTGTAAAGTGTTCTAAGTGTATAATGTTTCAAATAATAAAAGCACTATCAAGCTACTTCGATTTAACACTTTATATGTTCACTAACTTATTTTTGTATTTCTTTAGAACATTATTAAGCGACTGGTTTCATCATAAAAGCTATCATCGAGCCCTTCAATAAAAATATGATTTTTTGTTCTACACCCACATGTGAATTATTTATTCTACGCATACTACAGAACAAAAAATTAGTCTTAAAAGAATTCGATTCAAATATGAATCCTTCAGGATTTCTTTGGAAAATCCGGATCACTAATCCGTTTTAGTTCGAATTCCAGGATTCAAATCCTATGTGAATCTGGAAAAGTTATTAGGAATATAATACTTCTATTATATTTTTATTTACTGTTACAATTCTAAAGTTGGGAATTGTCATTATTATTATCATCAGACCCTAATTTATTATTATCGAACGTTTTATGTAACGAGAGTTTAAAAATTATCATTATTTCACAATTTTATTCAACAACTAAAAATCGGCATTAAAATATAGATAAAAAATAAACATTTGTTATCTTGCAAACAAGAAAGTTAATAAAAATCAACTATAAAATACATATTTTTCTTAAAGTTGGGATATTAATCACTGTTCCAGTTATTATTTTTATATGGTCTATATCTTCTATCAAAATCTCGTATCCACTGTTCTTCTTCAACATCTGGATCTAAGCAACATATCAAATGTTGATTATCATCGAATTTGAGAGGAGAGTCGTCTTCATACTCAAAAGAACTTTTATATTCCTCAGGGTTTAAATTTTTAACCAATAAAGGTCCCACTTCAAATTTGTATCCAAGCATTTGAAAAAGCTCCTTGTTGGATTCCGTAAACTCCACAGCAATTTTTGTCGATTCATGCTCTCTAATGGCCACACGTTCAGCCCAGTTAATAAGACTAATGGATAAGTCTTCATTATGAATATCCCTATCGTAAATATTTATTAGAGGAATAATGTTTTCATTTACTAATAATTCGCAAATTAATGTTGTTTGACTAGGTACACTTAGGTCATCATGCCTCATTATTAAGAATGCAGACATAACATCTTGGGACAGGTCCTCGAAACTCAAAAAAGTCTCCCAGCATTCATCTGCTACATAATCTTTTCTGCACGTTTCCGGAGTAATTGCTTTCGTGAGAGTGTTTTTAAGTTTTATATAAATTTCTTCTAGGTTTATAATGCTGTCTGACTTATTTAACTTTGTTGATGACATTTTAAATCTATACGTCACTTATTTTTTAATCTGATGTTCACGAAACCAAAACATTAAATACAGAGATGCCCTTTAACTTACGGAGGCATACATCTCAGAAACCAATTAATGACAAATTTGATAGATATAAAATTAAAACCAAATTTAATGAACATACATGAATAAATGTTCTGTTTTGTATTTTCAACCAATTATACTTTACAGTTCAGAAGTACCAAACTATTTGTTCAATATTTGTTTTATTAGATTTGTGGCAACAGGCGATAAAATTGTAATTTCCTGCTAATAGGCTGTATGTAATAAGTATTCAAACCTCAATTATTTACAAAAGTTGTATTGGTATACTTCTTAGTGATAGTGATGGGTTTATATTGTATCCCAACAAACAATGAATTGCCGGGATATCATATTTATGTGCCCTAAACGTTTGTGCCACTGCTCAAGTATTTGTTTTGCTGTGCTTGTCTATACAGTTGACCTTTTCTGTAATTGAAGCAAAAATGAATGCGAGGATTAAAAAATGAAAGCCTACTTTTGTCATTTTGATCGTCGCCCAGCATTAGTTGATTGATGATTGGGTAAGAGCGAGGTCAAAAGGCTTTTAACTGCCGCAGACTCAACCCTCCAACAGTCCAGGAGGGTTCCGTCCCGCGTTCATAGATGGAGACACCGATGATCACTTGCTACATACTCAACGAGTGGACATGAGGCCAGTTTCGGATTGCTTGTATTCACTTTTCATTGTAGTTTCTCATTCATACATGTTATAAATTTAGAATATTTTATGAATATACATTTTGTAGAAAACATTTTATCTCTGTTATATATTATATAGCTGAATTAAATCAATTGTCTACAAAATTCTAGGTATATTGGAATGCATTCGGTTTTATATTCATACTTCAAAGAGGTACTATCGAATTGTACATGGCCTTTATTCAGCAGTCAGTATTAATATAATAAAAGGCCTGCAATTTCCCGTTAAATTCCCATCAATAGGCCAATAATTGCCAATATATTTATTTCAAAATATTAAAGGGAAAATGGAGGCCTTTAACTGGATTTGACTAATAAAACCCGCTTAACAAATTTTTAAAACCTCTACATTATAATTCGTTGCTTGTTATAACTTTTTATAATAAAATTTTGAAAATATTAATACAAATCATATTCTTTTTCTTTTAAAATGTTTAAAAATTAAACTCCTATCGACAACTTTTTTAACATACTCGTGATGCTACTATACATTAAACCATTAATTACCTAAACCATTAATTACCTAAACCAACCCTGGCATCCAAAAAGCATGTTTAGAAGAAAGTTATATTTAGTAAGACTAATTAAAAATAATTAAAATTGGCAACACCTATGCCATACACATTTAAAGTCCAAGGTCATAGAAATCTCATTTCAAAATCCTTTGATCTTATGAGAGTTATGAATATGAATCCCGAAAGCCACAATAGACCCATCTGGGTCGTAGTGGAAGGCGATGAGATCATCCAACTCATTTTCAACCTAACCTATGAATCCCGAATCACTTGGTTGAAGTTACCTGACCGGTATATAATATTTATGGATTAATGTACCTCTGCAGTTTGGAGCGAAGAAATAAATACCTGATTTTTAACTTACCATACCGTATATTACCTTATTTACACCAAGATGCGAAAAAACTGCAGGTCAAAAATGCTGTTCCTATCTAGCACCTAGAATATTTTCAATAATTCCCGATTTTTTAAAAAATATACAACAATACAAACACTTTAAACAAAAAATTAAAAAATGGATAGGGGAAAGTGACAGAACAATATTTCATAAGTTTGTAAATTCAAATATGTAAATAATATAAAATGTGTAAATAATATAATATAGGTAAATAATATAATATAGGTAAATAATATAATATAAAATAATAGACTTGAATTTGACGTTATACCTAATTACATTACATAAAATTACGACTACATGATTAGAACAATATTCCCGATTATAACAATACACCCGATTATGACAACTCATATAATTATGAACTATTCCTGATTTTGACAACTCACTTAATTCTGAAATTTCATTGTAATCTTTTAGTTCTCGAATGATAATAGAAATTATTATAGTAATTAAGATTAATATTAAGGATACAAATGTATGAACTTACTAAATAAGTATATCACAATACAAGCTGAGCCTCTTCTGGGGTGACGCTTCTGTGATTAGTCGTAGTTTATTCAGCATAATATTGTAATTTTACATGTAAATATTTTTTTGGTATTGAATAAACTCATTATTATTATATTATTATTATTACCTCACAGATAAGTGCAATTGATATAATCAATAAATTGTTTTAAATTTGTATTATGTGCAAATTTGTAAATTAGAATTTGATACCTACCTTATCTAAAGCATTTTTTAAAGTATAATTTGTTAATGTAGAGTTAAGTGTATAAGCTTTAAATATAGTGGTGCCCAACTTATTTTTCAAAGTTATTAGAGTTATTTAAAAACCTAACCCACGCCCTATAAATTAAGCTCAAACACATATATCAAAGTAGATAAATCTAACCAGCTATTCATGTTACAATCTTCTTGTTCGCACTTCCTACCGAGTGCGGATTCTGACAGATGCAATGGAGATGCTTCCATACTTGTCAAAGACCAGTTAGAGTATTTGTTTCCTGTAGTGTTATCAGTGTAACTTAAAAGATCCCTAACAACTCTGCAGCTACATGTTTCGTCCCATCTTTCCTTTACAAGAACATGTTCTTTAATTAGGTTTGTCACTACCGATGTTGTCAGTCCAATAGATGGGCTAGATCCAAAAAAGTTGGTTGGCTGCTTTCTTGGCTAGTAAGTCAGCAAGACAGTTACCTTTCGATGTAACCTTTGATCCCTGTTAAGGTGACCATATTGTTATCTGTATCTATAACATGTGGAGGGTGGGTTAGCCCCACGACACTAAGGCCTCATAAGGCCCATTGTGCATCCTCCTGAGATGATAAGCACCTACTAGCTACAGATTTAATGTAGTTGACAAAGTCGCCAAGAGGTGCTTCTCTTATATCGGCCGGTGTTAGCCGATACTCGCCGAACAAAAATCTTCTAGTAAATGAGAGCGTCGAGTGCAGAGTGCGAATTCTGACAGTCCCATGATATGGAGATGCTTTCGTACCTGACAATGACCAGTCAGAATGCCTGTGACTAGGCGTAGATTCTGTCTAGTCATAGTCAAGTATTTGTTTGCTGCAGTGTTGTCAGGATAACTTAAGAGCTCTCTGGCAACTCTGCAATTTCTTGTTTCATCCCATCTTTCCTTGAATTTCACAAGGGAATGTTCTTTGATTAGGTATGTCACTACCGATTTTGTCAGGCCAAAAGAAGGGCCAGGTCCAAAAAGTATTTGGTTGGCTGCTTTCTTGGCTAGTAAATGAGCAAGACGGTTACCTTTCGATGTGGCGTGACCTTTGATCCATCTTAAGGTGACCACATTGTTGATGGATACTTCTGCCAAAGCTTTGTGACATTCTAGTACTAACCCTGAGTAAATTCGTGGTCTGTTCAGGGTGAATAGTGCTTGTCTGCTATCTGTATAGATAAGCATGTTCCTTTCAGTGATATTGATTCTGGTAACTTCTTTGCTACTGTGAGCTCGGTTTGAATTGCACTAACATCATTGCTCATAGTCCAGTTTATGTTTAGGTTTACCCATCTTTAGTATATTCCACATTCTGTGCCTTATTTTCCATTAGAACCGTTGGTGTAGATATGAATCGTACCTGCCACTTTCGGCTCTTATCTTTGTTTTCTTATAACTTTATATGGCTTATGGAAGATATATCTCGCTGAGATGGAGTCCATGTTTATTGAAATGGCGCTCGTGTACTAGAATAAAAGAGCTAATGATATATAATTATATAGATTGGTCATTCTTATGTAAATCAGACGACGAAAAGATTGTCGTTTATCAAAATTTATCTACAATTATAAGCTCAGTCGCTTTTCACGATGGCTTTTCACGAAGTAGTTTTTATTTTTTAGACTACCTCTTCGAGCATATATACCCTCTTATTTACTTACGGGTGAGCTATTATCTATATACCTATAGACATCATTGGTGTAAATGTGGGATCTAAACTATCGACTGTCACAACTTTCGGCGTCCTTCTGGTACAGTAACTTCTTAACATCTTAACATCTTGATTGCATACATTTTGAGGGACACTTTTTGTAAAGCAATAGTTCTCCTTGCCTCTACTCTATAGTTAGAGCTAACCGTGTAGAATGTAGATATTTCAAATTTTCTAGTTCGTTGTTAAAACCGTAGCATTATTTAAGTATTTGTCTGTTGATTTTATTAATTGTTTACTGTTGATACATATCAGGCGTTTAAGTAACAATGGCAAAAATAGTTCCAAATCTTATACTTGTATTTTAACCCTCCGACTGCCTATCTATAATCGGATCAATTTTAATAATTTACTTCATAGTTCAAAAATAAAGGTTTATTTTTATTTTAAAACTTTTGGAAATAATAAATAATAGATTAGATGTTTCTGTTAACTCTTTCACTTAAATGTGACATCCAAATTAAATATCCGAATACTGTTACATTTACTGTAATTATTATACCAGTTTGTAGCGTTAATTTCAGAGATCTACTCGTAATAATTATAAATTGTTTGGTTAGCCAGAAGTAAGGTAAACACGCACCACGTTCAAATATAATAGCGGGAGTGACTGTGTTAATTGCATTTTCAAACATGCGACAGTTTGTCTAGTCAGTTTTAGTAACTGTTTTTTTATCAAAACCGGAATCCTCACCTGTTTGTATTTATATTTTAATTAAGCCGAAGCACCTGAATTTATAATGCTTTAATTAACATATGCTTATTTATTAAATTTTAACGGAAATATTATGCTATTTTTGGTGAAAATCTTAAAGGTATTCAACAACTGTTACTGATATTCAAAATTGAACAAATTTACCTTATGTTATAGCATGTATTTTTATATCTTCTTCAGTTAAATTGGTTTAGATTT